GGGGTGGGGGTGTTCAGGGGGTTCCCAGTGGGGGTTGTGGGGGGTCTCAGGGGTGGGGGTGTTGTGGGGAGGGCCGGGGGTGGGGGTGGGGGCTCCCAGTGGGGGGTGGGGGTCCCAGTTTCGGGTCTGTAACACCCTCCCCTCCGGCAGGTCTCTGCGGTACCTTTGTGCCCTGCATCCTGGCCTGCCAGGTGTCCCAGGACTTCGGCGAGTCCTGTTTTCTGCCCTGTCTACCCGGCACCCTGCTGGCCCTGCGCACGGGGGTGCGGGAACGGTACCACATCGAGGTGAGGCTGGGGGGGCCCAAGGGGGGAGGGTCAGTTTCCAGCCAGAGCCCCCCAGAGCCCCATCCAACACCCCCACCCTGCATGGGGCCCCACCCATGTTGCTCTGGCTTCGCGCCCCCGCCTACCCCCTCCCCGCTCGGCCAGGGGCCCCGACCTGCGAAGAGTAAAACCTCCTGCCCGGATGCAGCCGGCCTGGGCACGCTGACCCAAGATCCGGTGTCAGTCCCGCAGGGGGTGGCCGGTTTCCCAAAGCGGGAGTCCTTCCCCCACCCTTTGTGCCCCCGTGGCCCGGGCCCATGACCATGCCTGTGTGAGGCTGGGCGATGGCTGGCGTGGTGCCGATGCCTGGCTGTTCCAAGCCGGTCTGGCTTTCAAACCAGTAACTCTGGCCCCAGAGAGGCCCTGCTAACCCCCCCTCTCCCCACAGGGCAGTATCTGCGACGATTGGCTGGTCATGGCCTGTTGTGGGCCCTGCGGCCTTTGCCAGCTGTCCCGGGAGCTGTCACACCGGAAATGAGGGGGCCTCTGAACCGTCTCTGCAGCAGGAAGAAAATCTGCCCCCCAGCCTGGGGAGGAGAACAGGGACACGGGGGGGGAGGAGCCCCTGCCCCAGTCCCCAAACCCCCTAAATAAATAACCCCACAAACTCTTTGCAGTAGCCTGTGTTTATTAGTGGGGCCCCGGCACCCTATGTCCTCGTGGGGGGAGGGGCATGTGGCGGGGGGGAATGAAAAATAATATTAGATAAATGAGCACATGGGGGAGTGATAACTACAGCATGCCACAGGGGGAGAGTTAAGGGTACAGGCACACATGGGGGAGTTAAGGGTACAGGCACACACACACCAGAAGTAGTTAAGGGTAGGTGTGCACCCCCAGGGCAGGTAATGGTACAGGTGCACACAGAGTGGGGAGTTCAGGGTACAGGCAAACACACATTGTGGGGAGAGTTAAGGGTACAGGTGCACCTGCTGGGGTGGAGAGCTAAAGGTACAGGCACATGCACAGTATGGGGGAGAATCATAGAATATCAGGAGGGATCGAGTCCAACCCCCCGCTCAAAGGGTGGACCAATCCCCAGATAGATTTTTACCCCAGTTCCCTAAATGGCTCCCTCACGGATTGTACTCACAACCGTGAGTTTAGCAGACCAATGCGCAAGCCACTGAGCTATCCCTCCCCCTGGGAACACTGGAACACAAACACTGTGTGTGTGTTGGGGGGGGGGTTTAGGGTGTCCCGGAGTCCCTGGGCGATGCTCTGGAACTGCTCCCCACAAAGCCAGGCAGGACTCTGGGGAGCCTCCTCTCCCTCGGAGCAGACTGTCTTCAGGGCAAGAAGCTCATAAGGCTTCACCTCCTGGGTCTGACCTCGGAGCATTCAGCATCTGCCCCTCCGTGCGCTTCCCACAGCGAGTCCGCCCAGGCGGGGTCCTGGGGCAGCCAGAGGGTCCTGCACCCCCCACTCCGCAGTCAGACGTGACTCTCGACCAGCCAGTAACACAGAGGTTTATTAGATGACAGGAACACGGTCTAAAACAGAGCTTGTAGGTACAGAGAACGGGACCCCTCAGCCGGGTCCATTCTGGGGCCCAGCGAGCCAGACACCCCCGTCTGCCCTCACTCCCCGTCCCCAGCCAGCTCCAAACTGAAACCCTCCAGCCCCTCCTCTCTGGCCTTTGTCTCTTTCCGGGGCCAGGAGGTCACCTGATCTCTTTGTTCACCTTTAGCTATTCCCTTGCAAGGGGGAAGGGCCCTGGCCATTTGTTGCCAGGATACAGAGTGTTGGCCATTTATGCACACTGGAGACTTAAGAAATGCATAGGGGAAACTGAGGC